ATTAAAGGTATATTTTAGATTTGTTTTTTATTTCTTAAGCCCTATTTCATAAACAATTTATAACATACAATTACCACTTAAATTTCCAAGCTGTTGTCTTACTGGTGATATAATACTAGCCTTGAGAAAAATAAAGCTTAGGGACAGTGCCCTGAGTTCAAGCCCCAGGACCAACACTTATTAATAAATAAATAATAAGTCATAGTAACTTGAGTGTAGGGATGGCCTGAGGAAAGATGGAAATGGGAGAAGTGACATTGGTCAAGATGCATTGCATTTATAACCTGAATTCTGGCATTGAAACCTCTTTAAACAACTTAATAGTGATAATTATTGAAGGATTTTGACAGAATAGTAACTGTAATTATAAGTCATTGTTATATATATCCATGGAATATTTTTAATAAGAAAATATTCTTAAACACCCAGGAAATACTCATTTTAACTATCAATCACGCTTTTAAGATTTTAAGAATGTAAGGAAGACATTATGACTTTGGAGGTCAAATTCTCAATTATTTAATTTCTTCAGTCTTGGTGTGGTTGGAATAATGCAATTACCAAAGGGCTAATATGAGGCATAAACTAGGTAACATAAATAAAGTACTTGCAAATACAATATTTTGACAAAAATCCAAGGAAGAAAAAGTCTGAGGAAAAAAAATACACTCTTTGCGATGTGGAATTATACTATACTGTTCTTATCCTTGGGGGCTTTTAGAAAGGAGATAGAAAAAAGAAAGCACAATATTGCTTTGAATTGATTCTTTCCACTTGTATTTGTATCATTATTACAGGAGTTTTCATGTTTCTTCACTGTGGTACTCCATTGGCCATTTTGAAGGAAAACAACTGATGTTTATTTCAGAGTACAGACATTTAGATTAAGACAGTGGACTGACATTGTACCATTTGAAAGGAAATGGAAAGATTTAGAAAAAATTATAGTAAGTGAAGTAAGCCAGACCCAAAGAAACATAGGTTGCCTGGTTCCCCTCATTTGTTGTAACTAGAATGAGGCTATTAATCAACAAGTAAATACACTGGGTGGTAAAAGGCAAAAAAAATACACTTGGATATGATAAATTTTACAGGACTGTAGACATTCACACAGTGAGACCAAAGGAGAATATTCTTTTTTTTTTTTTTTGGTCAGTTGTGGGGCTTGAACTCTGGGCCTGGGCGCTGTCCCTCAGCTCTTCAGCTCAAGGCGAGTGCTCTACTGCACCACTTTCGGTTTTCTAGTGGTTAATTGGAGCTAAGAGTCTCATGGACTTTCCTGCCCAGGCTGGATTTGAACCGTGATCCTCAGATCTCAGCCTCCTGAGTAGCTAGGATTACAGGCATGAGCCACTAGCGCCCGGGTAAAAGGAGAATATTCTTGAGAGGATCACAAAGGCTCAACAGCTATGTGCATATGATCATATAAAATGGTATTTATCAAAATGAACTCCCAAGAACTGGAAACAGGAGGGTTTTTGGTATTTTTTTCTTCCTCTGTCACTGTTTTTGCTTTCTTATCTTCTGTCTCATATGTAAGTGTATCTGTTTTTGAGAGGGTAAGGTGGGAGGACAAAAATGGTAGAACAAAGGGTGAACAAATGCAGCAGTAATACTCAAGGGATACTATTTTGAAAATGAACTATACAACCTGTGGGGAGGTTGGGAGGGAAAAATAGAAGAGGAGGGAAGGGGTTACACTGTTCAAAAGAAATATACTCATTACCTGGCTTACGTAACTGGAACCCATCATCTTTATAATAACAACAGAAAAAACCCAGATACCTCCAAAGCATTTGTTCAAAACTAGAAAAAAAAGTGCATTAAGTTTCAGCTAATTTGATGCATTTTTTTCAAGTAAGCACACTGAAAATTGAAAACTTGTGTTCATGTACCAACAGTCAATATGCTAACTCACCATGCAAAATGTCAAATTGTCAAGATTAGGATAACTCATCTTTGTACAAAATCTTAAATACGGACAAATTAATAAACAATTGGAGATTATCTGAAGAGGATGCATTAGGAATTTCTTTAATACTAATAATGAATGAATTGATGGGAGTGGTAGGGTTGGAAGGGATGGAGAAAAAGATGAACAGGGTAATATCAATTAAGATGCATTTTACTTATCAACTGACATATTGAATGGTAACCCCTTTGTACAACTACTGAAGAATTTAAAAAAAAGGACTATCGACTAAATATGTGCTTACATTTGCTCAAATATCATGCTTCTATGAGCCAAATACTGTTTTAGGCATTAAGGAAACCGAAAGAAATCAAAACAATGAAAAATCTTCTCCTCATGAAGTTTATAGTCACTTGGGAAGAGATAAACAAAATAAAAATGCATAGCATGTTTGGTAGTTGACATTGAAGGGCAAAATTAAGTGGAAAAGGGAAATAACTTGTAGTCACAGGGCAGTTAGAAGAGCTTGATTTTTAAATACCATCATAAAAGAAGACCTTACTGAGAAAGTGACATTTAAACAAATCCCTGAAGGTGGAAAGGATTATATCCTTAGATAACTGGGAAAGGGCACCTAGGCAGGGAAACAAATACAAAGGCTCTAAAGCAGTCACTGATAGCCGGCAAGGACAAGAGGAGACAATGCTGTATGCAGAGCAAGGGAAGGAAGAAAAAATGGGATAAATAGATCAGGGAAAGCAGATCAGGTAAGGCCACGTAATTTTGGCTTTACTCTGAGTAAGATACAATGCCTTTAAGGCTGAAAAGAGATGATCTGGCTTACTTTTAAGCAGATCACTATAACTGCAACGCAGAAAGACAAGCTAGAAGCCGGGCGCTGGTGGCTCACGCCTGTAATCCTAGCTACTCAGGAGGCTGAGATCTGAGGATCGCGGTTCAAAGCCAGCCCGGGCAGGAGAGGGCAGGAGAGACCGTGAGACTCTTATCTCCAATAAACCACCAGAAAACCGGAAGTGGCGCTGTAGCTCAAGTGGTAGAGTGCTCGCCTTGAGCTGAAGAGCTGAGGGACAGCGTCCAGGCCCAGAGTTCAAGCCCCACGACCGACCAAAAAAAAAAAAAAAAAAGAAAGACAAGCTAGAAAACTACTATAAAGACCTAGATCAAGATGTTGTTGACTTGGTAGTGAAGCTCTTGAGAAATGATCAAGATCTTGGCTATTTCTGAAGGTAAAGCCAAGAGAATTTTCTAACACCCTGGAAGAGAGATGGATAAAAAATGGTTGGACCCCAGGACATTTGCTTGATGAACTTGAAGATAGAACTTGAGATGGAAAAGATATGGCAAAATATATAACAGGTAGATCATATTTATTTTGAGCTAATTAAACTTTACTATTTAGACTGATATAATTTGCTAATTTTCTTTGCAATAAAACTCAAGTTTATTTCTAAACTACCTTGATGATTCATGTTTGTTTCATATTACCTAAAACAAAAATTAGGCACACTATTGAATGCCAAGTTTAGATTAATGTAAATAAATTGGAAAGAAAAATGTCAACAGTATAAATTTCAAATTTCTCTAGTTCCTTAAACAATGTTCCATAGAGTTTTACATTTGTATTGATTATACATAAACATTCTCTTACTCTGTATTACAGTAGACAAACAAAAGGCTGATTTTCTTTAGCCCCACTGATTTTCTTTCTTGCTACTATGGTACAACCCAAATGCCATCTTCAGATTAAAAGAATTCTTTCACCAAGAATCCTTTCACCAACAAAATCCAGCTTCAGTTAAACTTACATAAAAGATTTGTTCATATCTATCACTTCTGATTCTCAATTTCTATGAGGACGGTAGACCAAGTAGAACTAATTCCATTTTTTCTTATGAGAAACTGATGTTCAGAGAGGATGAATTCTTTCTTAAGTCTCATTAATATAGCAAGATATAACTAAATTCCAAGTTTTCTGAGCTCAGTAGCTCTTTCTTATTACCTCATACTGACTTGAATAAAATGGAGCAGATTTTGAAAACTGTAAGTGGGTTTCTTATGTTATTTTGAAACACACTAAAAAGCAATCTGATGCCAGGCACTAAAGGTTCATACCTGTAATCCTAGCTACCCAAGAGGCTAAGATCTGAGGACTGAGGTTTGAAGTTAAGATTAGAAAAGTCCATGAGCCTCATATTTCCAATTAACTAGCAAAAAAAAAAAAGTTGGAAGTAGAGGTGTGGCTCAAGTGGTACAGCATCCATCTGGAGTGGAAAAATCCAAGTAAGAGTTCAAGGCCTTGAGCCTAAGCCCCAGTACTGGCACTCCTCCCTCAAAAAAAAACAGGGCTAGGAAGGTGGCTCAGTGGTAGAGCGCTTGCCTTGCATGCATGAGGCCCTGGGTTCGATTCTCCCGCACCACATAAGCAAAAAGAAAAAAGCCGGAATTGGCGCTGTGGCTCAAGTGGTAGCGCTAGCCTTGAGCTGAAGAGCTGAGAGACAGTGCCCAGACCCAGAGTTCAGGCCCCATGACTGGACCCAAAAAAACAAAAAAAAAAACAAAACAAAAAAAAACAAAGGCTGATAATTACTAATGGCTTTGCAAATCACATTTCAATTTTTTTTTTCCAGTACTGGGGATTTTATTGAGTCTTGATATTTGCCAGATCTAGCTTCAAACTTCTGATTCTCCTTTTAGTCTCCTGAGTACCTGGAATTATTGGCTTGAACTATCATTCTTGGCTTCAAGGTTTTAATCATGAAATAAATGACATTAATTCAAGGGCTTCCAAAATCAAAAGAATAAAAATTTCTAAATCATTTCCGTAATGTTTACTTTGAGCAATATATTTCGTCTGAGTATTAGCTTTTTTTCCAGATAAGGCCTCATTCTTTGATCCTCCTATCTCAGCCTCTTACTAAGCAGGGATTATAAAGTACAACTGTACCCAGCCTGAGATTTTTTACAAACTTTCAATATAGGAGAATTAAGAAAGTTAATTCAAGCTACACTTTAAAAATTATTTACCCTTTATTTTAATACTAAAATGCTAGGAGAAAAATATATTTACCTCAGTAATTGGCTGTCCCTGATAGGTCAAATCTAGTTCTTGAGGGCGTGTTACTTTGTCAATATCCAAAGAATCCATGCTGGAGGCTGCAGAAGTCATGCTAGAACGAGAGGAGTTACTAATGGAGCGGACTTCAGCATCGCTCACGGTGCCTGCTGAGGCAGTTCTTCTGTGCTGATTAGTTCCTAAAGGCTTAGGATCTTCTAGTACCGATTGCTGAGCAGCTTCATCCATGCTCAAGGAAGCCTGTTCTAATTGTGCAGTGATGTCATCCAGGGAGTAGTTAGCATGGGAAGGCTTAGGTATCCTATTAGATGAAGAAGATAATCCTTTCAATGTGCCATGTTTGGAGGTATGTCGGCTGGCAGGTAATTTCTGAGTACTTTTCAGTTCTGTGACTTGACGCTTACTACTTCCTGAACCAATACTGCTTAGCTCCTGCTCTATAGAGCAAAGATCAGCCATCAGGGCATCCAGATCCACCGTTTCTCCCTGATTCAGAGCTTCTGCAAAACAACACACAAGTTTCCAGAACCAATCAGAATTCATACATTCTATTCTAAATCAGTTAAATATGGAAATGGTAGGGGATGCAAAAGAATGCATTCCATTGGGAATATAGTCAGTCAAATGGAAGTATTAAATAGGTTTTCTTTTTAATTCCCAGAGAATTTTCAGAAGCACTTTTACAATCTCTAATAATTAAGAATAAAGGTACGGGGCTGAGAGCCCAGTGGCTCACACCTGTAATCCTAGCTATGCAGGAGTCTGAGATCTGAGGATCATATTTCAAAGCCAGCCCAGGCACGAAAGTCTGTGCAACTCTTATCTCCAATAAACCATTCAGAAAACTGGAAGTGGCACTGTGGCTCAAGTGGTAGAGCGCTTGCCTTGAGCTGAAGAGCTGAGGGACAGCACCCAGGCCCAGAGTTCAAGGAAGCTGAGAGAATCATGGTTCAAGCTCCATGACCGTCAAAAAAAAAAAGAAAGAAAGAAAAAGAAAAAGAAAAAAAAAAAAAACAAAGGTATGCATTCAAACAAAATAGTGCAAAACATATTATTTAATAACTTTAGCCACATCCCTCATTAACTTTTTCTTTTTTCTTTTTGTTAGGTCTGAGACAGGGGCTTGAACTCAGCACCTGCCACTTTTGCTCACTGGCTAACACTCTACCAACTGAGCCACAACTCCAACTCTTCATGTAACTTTTAAACCACAGTTTGTAATAAGCTATTAATACAGTCAGTATCCAACAAAGATGTTATCAAAACAGCTGAGGGCATGAAAAAAATAAATGGAAAGTCCAATAAAAGTAAAGTTTAAAACAATAGAGTTGCGGGGCTGGGAAGGTGGCTCAGTGGTAGAGTGCTTGCCTTGCATGCTCGAGGCCCTGGGTTCGATTCCTCAGCACCATATAAGCAAAAAGAAAAAAGCCGGAAGTGGTGCTGTGGCTCAAGTGGTAGAGCGCTAGCCTTGAGCTGAAGAGCTGAGGGACAGTGCCCAGGCCCAGAGTTCAGGCCCACAACCGGACCCCCCCAAAAAAAAAAAAAAAAAATAGAGTTGCTTAGGTAGAGTACACTAAATAAATTTATGAGAAATGTTATTAAAATTAGTAACAACCATGTGGTTTACAGCTCTAATCCTAGCTACTGTAGAGGTGATTAACAGGACCATAGACAAGTAGCCTGGGTGGGAACAGGGGAGGGTTTAGCAAGACCTCAAGAGTGTTTGTCTATAATCCCAGCTCTGCAGGGGGCCACAAGTGAGTCACGCCATGGGCAATAGACATACACAGACAACAAGCCACAAGACCCTACATAAAAAAAAAAAAACACAAAAAAGGAAAAGAGAGCTGGGTGAATACAAGTGGCAGTTCAAATCCTAGGACCACACACACAAAAGAAATAATGAATTCTTTGGATTTTAATCCAGTGACAGAACAACAATGAAATTATTAAATTTTCTGTGAGGTTCTTCCTATGTATATACTTTGTCACTTACTAATAAGGAAAATATGTTTCAGTTGCTCTTTTCTAAGATAATCTACTTAGTATTATGCACAAATCAAAAAAAGTACTAAGTTATATGTATAGGCTTTTTTTTTGTTAGTCATAGGGCTTGAACTCTGGGCTTGCGTGCTGTTCCTGAGCTCATCAGCTCAAGGCAAGCGCTCTACTACTTGAGCCACTTCCAGCTTTCTGGTGGAGATAAGAGTTTTCCAGGCTGGCTTTCAATGGCGATCCTCAGACCTCAGCGGCCTGAGTAGCTAGTATTAGAGGTGTGAGCCACGGACGCTCAGCCTGCATATTGTTTTTATATTGAGTCTTGTATTTGAAACTGCAGCTGCATTATTCCTACATTAATATATACTTATCATTATTTACCTTATACATTACATACATCTTACCATTCAAGTTGTATATGGAGAATCGGTAAGAAAAATTGGCCATGTTTGTTTCCTGGCGAAGAGGAGACCTTTTTACTGGTTCTGCAGGCTTGTCAGAATCCAAACTCTTGAAAAAAAAAAAAAAGTTATATTCAAGTCAAGTCTTTATACAAAAAGGATGAAGTTTGCCTTATGATTAAGTGAACTGCCAATATAATAATCAAATCGAAAATCTTAAGGTAAAGCATAATTGGTTTTCACATTATTTTCATTTATTTCAATTTTTAGGTATATGCTTTAGAACCTGAGGCTTAACACTGTCTGTCACAGTTCAGAATAAATGTCTTTTCTTCTTCTTCCTCTATCTTTTTAAAAAATTTTTTCCTGGTCCTGGAGCTTGAACTCAAGGCCTGGGCATTGTCCCTGAGCTTCTTTGTGCTCAAGGCTAGCACTCTATCACTTGAGCCACAACACTGTTTCCAGCTACCACTTCCAGCTTTTTCTGAGTGGTTTATTGGAGATAAGAGTCTCACAAACTTTCCTGCCTGGGCTGGCTTTGAACCATGATCCTCAGCTCTCAGCCTCCTGAGTAGCTAGGATTACAGGTGTAAGCCACCAGCACCCAGCTCAAATGTGTGTGCGTATGTGGTCGCTCGCGTGCTCTCTCTTCCTCTCCCTCTCTCTCTCTCTCTCTCTCTCTGGTATTACTAATTTGAATTTGAGGCTTCCTTCTTGGTTTGCAGGTGGTATAACACTTGAACCACAACTCTAGCTCTTAGAGTTAAGTTTTTTGTTTTTCCAATACATCCTAGCGACTGACCTCTCTTCTCACATAATTCTGCTATCAAATAAACTAGAAACATGAATATAGGTATGATAAATGGAAAAGAAACATTCAGAGTTCTGATAACTCCTTCCTTGAGGGATATGGTTTTGTTCCAGCATAATCTCATTCACTGGCATAAAGTAACCTGAAGATAAGGGACAGTCCTGGGCTAAAAGTTAGTGAGACCTAAAACCTTAGCAAAGCGAACAATCACCATTTCAAAAAGTAATAGAGGGCTTGGAATGTGGCTCAGTGGTAGCATGCTTGCCTAGCATTCATGAAGCCCTGGGTTCCATTCTTCAGTACCACATAAACAGAAAAGTCTGGAAGTGGCGCTATCCTTGAGCTAAAACAAGCTCAGGGACAATGACAATGCCCAGGCCCCAGGACTGGCAAAAAAAAAGTCAAAAGGTCAGTAGACCAAGATGGCGACGGGGCAGTAGGGAAACGCCACAGCTCTCTCCAACCAAAAAGAGAGTTCGAGTTCCAATGCTTAATCTCCCCAAGAGACCAACAACAACAAAAAGACGAACACTCAGAGAAAAACCAGAGGTGGAAAATAACAAAAAAAGAGAGAGGAAAAGAAGAAATTCAGAACAGAGAAGAGCGAAGACCCCTCCCCCAACCTTTACTGGCCGCGCGGCAGTGCGCCAAGCCGCCGGCCAGCCGGCCCGGCGGGGGCTGCCGGAGCCACAGAGACACAGGGGGCTGCTTGCAGATCACCAGGTACCGGATTGCAGAACAGCGGATCGCCAGGAACAGAGAAACCTACCAGCCGGGAGTCTCCACGAGGATCCCACCCCCACCCCTCACTCTCCACCAGAGCGGAGAGGCTCCATCCCGCCAAAGCCGCCCGGCACCAGCAGCGCGACAAAGGGACCTGTTGGCAGACCACCCGCCCAATTGCGATCGCAACGACCCGGTGGGGGCCGCCCAACCCAGCCCGCAACCACCCCAACTGAACTCGGATTGCAACAACAACTGACGACCTACAGGGTGAGTACCCCACAGGGGACAGTGAATCCATCAAGGGAGACCAGAGCTGGAGGGAATCCCCAGACCCTGACCTAGACTCCCTACCCCAACACCCGGACCACAGGACCCACTAAAACTGGGAACTGTTCAAGAGCTCCACCAGCCGGTGGAGCACACTCTGCTGGCCAGGCCAGAGCAAGAGCGCCCCTGGAAGGGAGCTTAAATGCCCAAGCCAGGAACAGCGCCCCTGGGTCAAGACTACCAACAGTAGAAGAATTTTGAACTGTGTCCTCCAGGCTGCATAACCAAGGTGGTATACACATTAGCACAGGCCTAACGAGCGCGCTCCAGGTTGGGGCCGGAACCAGGCCCCGGGACCGGCGCCTGAACAAAGCAAAAAGGGTCAGAAGTGGGGCTGTGGCTCAAATGGTAGGGTGCCAGCCTTGAGCTGAAGAGCTGAGGGACAGCACCCAAACCTAGAGTTCAAGCCCACAACCAGCCCAAAACAAACAAACAAAAACACATCAGGAGCCCATAGCAGACTCCAGTATTTGGGAAAGTGCATCCAGAGCATCTGATCTTCCCAAGAGCACCCGCAGGAGCAAACACAAGCAGTCTAGGCTGCTCAACCCTTCCAAAGGCGGGAATTGCCAGCAATCTACAGCAGAGAGCTGAGAATCCTAAGTAAGTCAGAATAGCAGCTGGAAATAGGCTCCCAACAGAATCCAGATCAGGCACAGACTCTCTCTACCAATACAGAATCAGTAACCAAGCAAAGACAGACACACCAAAACAAGATTGAAGAGCAGTCTCCTGAACCCCCATGCGAAAATCACAGAGAAAAATCACAAGGTTTACCACTACCCAGGACAGCAAACTCACCTCAAAAGCCAGCAGCCACGCAGGGGAGAGCCCCAGTGGGAGCAAAGCAGGAATGGAAGACAAAAACTACATCCAAGGGTTGCTGGAGGCAATGACTCAAGAAATAAAGCGAGAAATGGATCAGAAATTGAAAGAGCACAAGGATGAACTATCAAAAGATATACAGGATATCAAACAAAAGTTGGATGCAAAAATAGAAGCTGCACAAACCTCAGCAAGAAGTGAGATAAACGCCAAATTAGAGGTAATGCATACTGATCTCACCTCATTGAGAGGTGAGATCAGTACTCTGAGAACCAACATTGAATCCATAAAGGGATCCATTTCCACCATGCAAACCACAATAGAAGCCACGGTCAACAGAGTGAATGAAATGGAAGGTAGAGTGTCAGATACAGAAGACAGAATACACCAACTGGACCAAAAAGTGACAGATATGGAAAAATCACTCAAATTAAACCAAAGGGAAATTCAAGAGCAAGCAGATAATGCTAAAAAATTTAACCTTCGCATAATCGGAGTGGACGAAGGTGAGGAATTCCAGAGCAAGGGAATGCAACACCTATTTAACAAGATAGTCAATGAAAATTTTCCCCACCTCAAAAACGACCATCTTAACTACATCACAAAAGCTTATCGAACACCCAACAAGCAAGATCCCAGGAGAAACACTCCTAGGCACATTATAGTAAAAATGATGGATCTGAATAATAAGGAAACAATCCTGCATGCAGCAAAAATGAAGAAGGAGCTATATTACAACGGGAAAAAAATTAGAATCACTGCAGATCTCTCCACACAAACAATGAATGCAAGAAAAGCCTGGGAAAGCACCATACGAGCCCTGAGAGCCAATAACTGCCAACCCAGACTGATATACCTGGCAAAGCTAGCATTCACATTCGATGGAGAACTGAAAACTTTTAATAGCAAAGAAAAACTAAATGAATACATAAACAGTAAGCCAGCATTACAAAGAATTCTAAGAGGGGGGACACAACCTGAAGAAAGCAACCAGGAACTGGAACCTGCAACAAACAGGCATTACTCAAAGTCTAACTGAGCAAGCACAGGAGGAAAGGAAAGAAGAAAAACTTAGGAAAACGGAATGGCAGGGACAACAATGCATCTCTCTATACTTTCTCTTAATACAAATGGGCTGAATTCGCCAATTAAAAGAAAACGAACTGAGGACTGGATCAGAAAACAAGACCCATCCATCTGTTGCCTTCAGGAGACCCACCTCTCAGCCAAACATACAAACAAACTCAGAGTGAAGGGGTGGAAAAGGATCTACCAATCAAATTCCCCCAATAAGAAAGCAGGTGTAGCTATCCTGATATCTGACAAAATAAACTTTTCATTAAAATCAGTACAGAAAGACAAGGACGGACACTACATATTAATAAAGGGAAAAATCCAAGAGGAGGATATAACCATCATCAACTTATATGCCCCAAATATCGGTGCACCCAGATATGTTAAACAAATGCTCTCAAACTTACAGAATAAAATAGATCCCAATACGATAATACTAGGAGACTTTAACACGCCACTCTCACCAAAGGACAGGTCTACCAACCAGAGGATTGGCAAAGAAGCTACCGAATTAAGTGAGGCCATACTTCAAGCGGAATTAACTGACATCTACCGAGTATTTCACCCTAACACAACACAGTACACATTCTTCTCAGCAGCTCATGGAACTTTCTCCAAAATAGACCATATCATAGTTCATGCAAGGAACTTAAGCAAATACAAAGGGATCGACATAATCCCCTGTATCCTATCTGACCACAGTGGAATCAAGCTAGCTCTCAATAACAAAGCATACCGCAGAAATTTCTCTAATACATGGAAATTGAACAGCACACTCCTTAACAAGGCCTGGGTAACAGAAGAGATCAGAGAAGAAATAAAGCATTTCCTACAACTCAATGAAAATGAAAACACCTCACAAAGAAACTTGTGGGACACAGCAAAAGCAGTCCTGAGGGGCAAATTTATTGCCCTCAGTGCCCACATCAAGAGAATGGAGACAGACCAAGTAAATAATCTCATGTTGCAACTAAAACAGCTAGAAAAACAAGAAAAAATGGGACCTAAAGCTACTAGACGAAGCCAGATAACCAAATTGAGAGCAGAGATTAACCAATTAGAAAATCAGAAAACCATAACCAAAATAAACCAAACAAAAAGCTGGTTCTTTGAAAAAATAAACAAAATTGATGGCCCGTTGGCAAGATTAATTAAAAAAAGAAGAGAGGAAACCCATATTAATAGGATTAGGGATGCCACGGGAAACATCACAACACGTACCCAAGATATCCAAACAATTCTAACAGACTACTTTCAAAAGCTATACTCTCTAAAGGAAGAAAATCTGGCGGAAATGGATGCATTTTTAGAGAAATACAAGTTACCCAAACTGAGCAAAGAAGAAGTTAACCAATTAAATAAGCCAATATCCTATAATGAGATACAGGAAGCTATCAAAAGTCTTCCAACAAAAAAAAGCCCAGGACCAGATGGATTCACAGCAGAATTCTATAAGACCTTTAAAGAAGAACTAATACCCATACTCCTCAAGCTCTTCGGAGAAACAGAGAAGGAGGGAGCTATCCCAAACTCATTCTACGAAGCCAATATCACACTCATCCCCAAACCAGGCAAAGACCCAACCAAAAAGGAGAATTACGGGCCAATCTCCTTGATGAACACAGAAGCAAAGATCCTTAACAAGATTCTAGCTAACAGAATCCAGAAACACATAAAAAAAATAATACACTATGATCAGGTAGGCTTCATCCCAGAGACACAGGGATGGTTTAACATACGTAAGTCAATAAATGTAATCCAGCATATCAACAGAGCCAAGGTCAAGAATCACATGATTATCGCCACAGATGCAGAAAAGGCCTTTGGTAAAATTCAACATTCATTCATGCTAAAAGCTCTGGAGAAAATAGGAATAGAAGGAACATTTCTAAAAACAATAAAAGCCATTTATGACAGACCAATAGCCAATATTATACTTAATGGGGAAAAGCTACAACCAATCCTCCTAAAAACAGGAACAAGGCAAGGATGTCCACTGTCTCCACTCCTCTTCAACATAGTCCTAGAACCCTTAGCCAGGGCAATAAGGCAAGAAAAAGACATTAAAGGGATCCGCATAGGGAAAGAAGAAGTGAAACTATCCCTTTTTGCAGACGACATGATACTATACCTCCACGATCCCAAAAAATCCATCCCCAAACTTTTAGAAATCATAAGTCACTTCGGCAAAATAGCAGGATACAAAATAAACCCACAAAAATCAGTTGCCTTCCTATACACTGATAACGCACAGGAAGAGAGGGAAATAAAGGGAGCAACCCCATTCACAATAACCTCCCAAAAAATAAAATATTTAGGAATTAACCTAACCAAAGATGTAAAAGAACTATTTAATGAGAACTATAAAAAGTTAAAGAAAGAAATTGCAGAAGACACTAGGAAATGGAAAGACCTCCCATGCTCCTGGATAGGCCGACTTAATATAGTAAAGATGGTGATACTTCCAAAACTAATATACAAATTCAATGCAATTCCTATTAAAATCCCAATGACGTACATCACTGAAATACAGAAAACAGTCCAAAAATTTATATGGAACAACAAAAGACCTAGAATAGCCAAAACAATTCTAGGGGATAAAGACAATATGGGAGGGCTATCCATGCCGAACTTCAAACTCTACTACAGAGCTATAATCACAAAGACAGCATGGTACTGGCACAAAAACAGACCCGAAGACCAATGGAACAAAATAGAAGATCCAGATACAAATCCACAGGCCTACAGCCAGCTGATATTCCACAAAGGAGCCAAAGACATACAATGGAAAAAACACAGCCTCTTCAACCGCTGGTGCTGGGAAAACTGGGCAGCCACATGCAGAAAACTAAAAGTGGACCCCAGCCTATCACCATGCACCAACATCAACTCAAAATGGATTAAAGACCTTAACATTAAACCTGAATCTCTGAAACTACTACAGGACAGAGTAGGAGAGACACTTGAACTAATAGGCACAGGAAGGAACTTCCTGAACAGAGTCCCAGGGTCACAACAAGTTGGAGAGAGACTCGACAAATGGGACTACCTTAAAATAAAAAGCTTCTGCACAGCTAAATCTATCGCAACTAAACTAGAAAGACAACCAACTAATTGGGAAAAAATATTTACCAGCAATATATCAGACAAGGGGTTAACATCCTGTATATACAGGGAACTCAAGAAACTAATCCCTCCCAAACCTAACAAACCAATTACTAAATGGGCAAGGGAACTAAAGAGGGACTTCTCAAATGAAGAAATAAAAATGGCAAAGAAACACATGAGGAAATGTTCATCATCCCTGGTGGTGAAGGAAATGCAAATAATGACAACCCTGAGATACCACCTTACCCCAGTGAGAATGTCCCACATCCACAAATCAGCCAACGACAAATGCTAGGGGATGTGGAGAAAGAGGAACCCTATTACACTGCTGGTGGGAATGTACACTTATACAACCACTTTGGAAAGCAGTCTGGAGGGTCCTTAGAAAGCTAAAGATTGACCTCCCTTACGACCCAGTCATACCACTTCTAGGCATCTACCCTGAACAACAGGAACCAATATACAAGGACACGTGCACCTCCATGTTTATTGCAGCACTGTTCGCAATAGCTAGGATATGGAAACAACCTAGGTGCCCCACCACAGATGAATGGATCCAAAAATTGTGGTATCTATACACAATGGAATATTATGCAGCCATTAGAAATGACAAAATAATGGCATTTGCAGGGAAATGGATGGAGCTAGAAGGAATCATGTTGAGCGAGGTAAGCCAAGAACGAAGAGACAAACGGTACATGGTCTCCCTGATAAGTGGATGCTAAATCCAAAAGGTTAGGTGAAACGACAAAACTAACAGGACTTAAGAAACAAAGAACTCCCGCTCATCTGGTTGAACCACTACTAAATATCCCCATGCTGCTGATCACAAATATGGTATATAACATGTGAACACTGTTAAATATTACAGACTGTGGTAGACAATTTGCTCCAGGGAAGTTAGAATGAACTTGTGACTTTGAAATTATGTAATCATTTAATCACAATCAAAAAAAAAAAAAGAACCTCGGGGAAGGGAGGGAGGGAGGGGATGGTAGGGGGAAAACAATGGAGGGGGTAACAATGTTCAAGAGGAAGTGTACTCATTACCTCACTCATGTAACTGTAACCCTCTGTATAGTAGCTTTACAATAAAAAAAAAATATATTGACAAAAAAAAAAAAAAGTCAAAAAGTAATAGACTAGTCCTATCAAGATCTCTGGATGAAGGCAAACCATAACCCTACTGTATTATCTGTGACAAAATTATTAGACCTACATTCAGGTATAAGAGACTTACAAGTTATCTACCATCTTCTATTTAATTAAAACTTTTACTTGTTTATTTTTGTGATGCTGAAGATTTAATCAATGGCCTTGTGCACAGCAAGCACACACTAACTGATCTAAATGTTTCCAGTCCTTACCATTCTCGTAAATGATACCTTTCCCCCCATACAATAAAAAATAAAGGTACAACAGAGAAATTCAAGAAAACAAGGAAAAGAAATTCCCTTCATTGTGTAAATAAATTAGCTAAGCTTGGGGCTGGGGGTTTAGCCCAGCAGAAGGTCGCCCGCCCAGCGCGCGCAAGGCCCTGGGTTCGGTGGTCCTCAGTCTTGGGAAAAAAAAAAAAGCTACAAAAAATTTGCTAAGCTTACAATTGTTCTTTTAAAACTTTGATTTCTATCCAAATTAAGTATAGTTTAATATTACTAAGCATTATTATTTGAATAAATTTCAATTTTAAAAGAATGTTAAATATTCTATTTGTAGAACCATGGCATTAGATTAGAATGTTATCTTTTCTACTCATTTATTTCAAAATAAGATTAATATAGTGTATCTGTCCTAATTTTAAAGTTTCCAAATGAACATCCACAATCTCTTTAATGCCCTATTTCAAAGTTTCACAGAACAGTCAAGAAACTTTCCTTTAACCTCAATCCTAACTCTACTGCAGCAACTTAAGTCTAATTCTCCTCACAGTAGAATTGGAGAATAGAAAGTATCTAACGTGTTCTATAAAATAACTCGAGGATTATACGTAAAACAATGATTATAACCTAAATTTGATCAAATATAAAGTTGAAAACACCATTAACTTTAATATGCCAAGTAACACCATGTAGGAACTAAAGTAATGAAACAAACATGACATTTGAATTTCTAGCCATTTAGATCAGTCATGTATTTCTTAAAAATTTCCAAAATACTGAAAAGCATTGTCACACTACACAAGTTTAAATCTAAGATATATTTACATGATAAAAGGAACTAGAGATCATCATGTTAAGCAAAATAAGCCAAACTCAGAGAAATATTACATATTTTCTCTCATGAAATCTAACTTTTTTTCTTTGAAAGACATGAAAGTAGAAGGGCAACTGTTTAGGAAGAGAAAGGAAACAAGCAAGAGCAGGTAAGAGAAAAAAGGGAAACAAAAATGAATAATGAGTGGCGATGATCAAAATATATTATACGCATGCACAATGAAACCCATTGCTTTGTACAATACATGGTAGTAAAGTCTTTAGAATAACCATACAAGATACTATCTACTGTTACAGTTATTATGCATTTAATCTTTAGTGTTTTGGTCACGTTTCTAGCTTAGCAGTATTTTTTTGGGGGTTGGGGGGTGTCTGGTCGTGGGGCCTGAACTCTGGGCCTGGGCGCTGTCCCTCAGCTCTTCAGCTCAAGGCTAGCGCTCTATCACTTGAGCCACAAAGCCACTTCCGGCTTTTTTCTTTTTGCTTATGTGGTGTTGAGGAATAGAACCCAGGGCCTCATGCATGCAAGGCAAGCGCTCTACCACTGAGCCACCTTCCCAGCCCTTAGCAGTATTTTTAAACTTAGCCTACATGCATATCCTTACTTGTGCAAATGAAATTGTTTAAATGCAGTGATGACTTCAAATCCTCAACCAATGTTTCAAGTACCACTTCTAACCTGAGTTAGTTTGTCTAGCTCCCCAAGCCATGCTCCAAACATTTTGTCCAGGTCTTGATCTTCCTTATCACTATCTTCTTCAGCACCATGATCAATTTCTTCATCTGATAGTTGCTCCATCTGAAAAAAAGCATTTATGTTGAATGATTAGTTACAAAGTTAATTTGGAAAATTATGTAGTATATGCTCTGATATATGCGGCAACTTTTTTTTTTTGTCTATTGTGCGGCTTGAACTCTGGGCCTGGGCTCTGTCCCTCAGCTCTTCAGCTTAAGGCTAGCGCTCTACCACTTGAGCCACAGTACTATTTCTGGCTTTTTCTGCTTATGTGGTGCTGAGGAATTGAACCCATGCCTCATGTATGCAAGGCAAGCACTCTACCACTGAGCCACCTTCCCAGCCTCATATGCGGCAACTCTTAAAAATCAATCTTCAATAGACAATTTTGAATTACATAATTTTAATTATTTTATTTTTAGTTTATTACTTTGCAAACCAATTTTTAAGATGTGTGTGGTATATACATATATAAAAGGTACAAATTTGTGTGTGTGTGTGTATACATGCCAGTCCTGGGGCTTGAACTCAGGGCTCTAAGCTGTTGCTTGGCCTTCCCTTCTTCTCCTTCCCCTACCCCCCCTTCCCCCCCCTCCCCAGGCTGGTGCTATTTAAGCCACACCACCACTTCTGGCTAAATTAACTGGAGATAAGTGTCTCCAATTTGTTGTCAGCTGGGTTGGCTTTGAATCTCAATCCTCAGATCTCACCCATTTGAGGAGCTGAGATTACAGGTGCAAGCCACTCAGGCCTAGATGCAAACTTTTAAAAAGGTCCCTAAGAGCTTGATTAAGGCCAACTCACTCACTTTCTCACTTAGTCTCTCTCTCTCTCTGTCTCTCTCTCTCTCACACACACACACACACACACAAACAACAACAACATAAGTAATAAAGGACCAAATGGCACTAGAAGAACTTCGTTAAGTCTTCAGGACTAGACATTTTATAAGAAACTCTTTATATAATTTTACACAAACTCTCTCATTTGCACATAAATAAAATTAGGTGAAGAATAATTTAGATACTCTGATTTTCAGTTACTCTTATGTAACCCCCTCTCCTTCCCCCCCACCACCCCCAGTTACTCCTAATAAACTTCAGTTACATTCTGAAATGTGGTTACTCCTTGGTAACTTTACTCAAGGCTCACATGTAAATGAGTGTGAGAATTTGAAGCCAAATGTGTATGATTTAAGTTGTATCCTAGATTTCAAACTGCCTACCAAAGAGGTGCTTTTAGTAGCCACCAGATAAAGAGATGAATTTGAGAAAAGTAAAATAAAAAGTAAAAATTTTTATTCATTCACTCAACAAATATTTACTAACTAACTTCTACATGTCAGACATTATTCTAGGTAAGAAGCAAGAATGTGCTCAGAGCACCTATGGCCTTTTAAGTTTAGTAAACTACTAGGATATCTATACTTAGAGTAAAATCCTCCTTGTTTTATTCTAATTATAAGCAGTATCTTGTAAGCAGGATAACTGCTATTGGGGGTGGGGGGCGGGGGGAACGCAGAATGAAAGCCAGTAGGCTGCTGCGATGGTATGGGAGAGAAGTTCGTAAGGCCTCAACTACTGGTTAGAGATGAACAATGAACATGTAAATATGGACTATGCACAATTCCAAGTGTTTGCTATTTACTCATTTTGTATTTATTAGTTCACAAAATCCTTGGAATAATCATATAAAATGGATAAAATTACTCATATATACTGTCAAAACAAACAAAAAAGGTACAGTTTCCCTAAATTAGCCCTCCTACATAGCTAGAATTCAAATGTAGTCAGGCCCATGCTCTTAACTATTGTAAAATACTGTACTTCTGTGAGATTAAATGAAGTAATGTAGTCAAACTAAAAATACTTAGAAAAGTAATGAGCAAAGTCAAAAGAACTGATCTGGAGTAGGAAAGGGTGATGTATGGAAAAATAAAAGATAATTTCTAAATTTCTGGTTTCAACAACTGAGAGGGAAATGATACTGGGTGGGGGAGGTAGATTATTTTTTTAAAGGCTGGATTAAACATCCAATTAGAAAAACAATGAGGAAATACAGACTCAGGTAATGAAAAGGCTAAATTTAATCACCTGAGTAGTATTTCAAAATCATGCTTATTACAGAAAAATAACAGAATACACCAAATAATGATTTAACTAATATTTTAAATTAAATTACATTTATTTTATTCATGAAGTAGAAACGAAAATAATGGCTGTGTGATCTATTATTGCTGTTATGTTGGCTGATTTTATCTTACCAATAAAAATAATTGAGCTCAGTTACTGTTATTATAGACTGAAACTGGTACAGCTAAGTTTTCACTTATGAATCTTCCTTTCAGGAGATATTTACTACTCTGTTTGTGAAGGGGATGATGTTTCTCCATCACTAAGGTCGACCTTAGATTAGGCTTAAGAATTTGTTTAAACATTTCCTGGAAGAACAGATAAAAAGAGCAAAGAAGGAAGATATGTTTGAGACAATATCATGAGACCAAGACAAATAAAACAAGAAGGGAGAGTAAGACCCTAAAGTTAATGATCAAAGTAGGACCCTATTCATGTAAAGCCTGGAAAGCCAACATTATGGGGCCTTGTATTCCCTCACCCCTACTGTGCAGGCCATTAGTTTCTTAAATATGGAAGTGAAGAGGAGGAATAGCCAGAATAGTACTTTAATCAGAGGACAGGGTGGCTGTAAGTTTTTAAAACTGACCACTATATAAATATAAATGTAATAAATATGTTATATTTATTATATTACGTTAATATATGTTAACTATAACATATAATAATACAATATATAATTATAATATATATAAATATATATTATAATTATATATAATATTAACTATAACTTAATATTAGGAAATGGAATTCCTAGGAGGAAAGCCAATTTACACAAGTACAGAAAAACTTATGGCATATAGTAAGATGCCTTATAACAACAGCTCTTTTTGCCCTTTTAATGAAAAGAAAATTGCTTTTTACAAGTGTCTTATACTTAAAACCACATGAAAATTCTCAAAATATAGACAGCAGAGTTGCTCCTAGAGATTTCTCTAGTGTGCTCAATGTTCCAAAAAGACATGAAAATCTTCCATTTCATTAAACATTTATGGTATGTCTTCTATGTGTCAGCTATGAGAGGAACAGATGCACACAATGGCCTCTGTTGTTGCATTCTATATGATCTAGAAAGGAAACCAATAATGATGAAATGCTGTGTTAAGTAGGAAACCAATGAAACAGTGATTAGTAAAGTTCTTTCTGTAGGCCTTCAAGCATCATAACAGATTTTATGTTAAATGAGTGTTGTTTAATTCAATCTGAAAAGGAGAAAGGATGATGTTTCAGTAGAGATGGGAAGGGTGAGGAGAGAGGACAAGGATATTTTACATGGGGCAAGCAGTGTGTGCAAGTGTATAAAAGTATGAGAAAATAAGGCACATGTTGAGAACTCCAAGTGGCTTAGTGTTTCTGAAGGTGATATAATCTCTGGGAAAAGGAGTTTAGAGAGATGGGGAGAAGTAAAATTATAAATCATAATGAAAAGCTGGACTTTATCCTGTAGAGCAGTATTCTTTTCCATCTATGGTCTACCAATTGATATGTATCAAAACTACCTGAAACATTCTTTAAAAGTTCTTAAATGGCCTGATTAAGATCTACTAAATACTACTGTTAAAGGGATGAGAAATTTTTAATAAATTCACCTCTGTACTATTTAGGTTCACTAGTTTGAAAACTTAAGAAGAAATACATTTGTTTTGTTGCAATTACTGGGTAGATTTTTAAGGCAAAAAGTAATGCAGTTTTGTATGACCAATTAGGTTAGAGGCAGAAGAGAAGAAATGAGAATGAGAAATATTCCTGCAAACCATGAAGAAATCAGGCATTTTGATTCCAAAATTAACATATCCCAATTACTCATTCATTACTAAAACCCCATTATTTTTCTCAATTATTGAATAAATCTTAGTTATTTCCAGTTATGCTTCAGTAACTTTATCCCTTCCAATTTTTTTTTTTTTCCAGTCCTGGGGCTTGCACTCAGGGCCTAGGTACTGTCCTTGAGCTTCTTTTGCTCAAGGAAAGCACTCTACCAGTTGAGCCACAGCACTACTTCTGGCTTTTTCTATGTATGTGGTGCTAAGGAATCAAATCCAGAGCTTCATGCATGCTAGGCAAGCACTCTACCACTGAGCCATATTTTCAGACCCCAAAATGTTTTTTAATACCTCCTATACTGCTGTAATATGATAAATAATTCTAAAGAAAAACACTCAGTAGAAAAAAAGGCTTTATATGTAGACTTTCATGTTCAAGGAGTTCTCCCAACTGTGCAACATACAACTATTGCATTATAAAAGCAAGAGGAAGGAAACCAAAATCAGACAAAAGAAACAATAAAAACCTGTGTTATATTTAGTAATGCATAAAACGAGGAAGAAGACCCCTCACAGGGAAGAGTGAGGAAGTGAGAGCAGAAAAGAAACAGGATACAACACAATGTAAAATGGACTGAGAATCAGGGATGGCAGGCTATTAACTATATACAAGTATGTAATGATATCTGGAATGTTTGGTTTGTCGCTTGATGTACAAGTATTATTCCTTTAACCCTGGATCTTCAGTTCTGCTATGAAAATAGAAACTGGGAATTTAATAGTCTTTTAAGTTTTAAAAGTTGATTGCCCTCCCCCCAATTTAACACTTTTTGTCCCTGTTTGTTGTTTAAAAAAATTGTGTTCTATGCATATACCAGATTTTCTGAGCATTTTAGCTTTGTTAAATAATCACCATTTTATAGCTCTTTGTAATTTATAAATCAAATGAATTTAATTTTAAAGAGATCAAAAGTTGGTTTTGCAATATATCACTAAAATTTCCTCTTCAGATTAGTGGTATTTAACATAGAGGTTCCATGTTCTACTCAGGATTAAACATTAAAAAGTACTTTTGCAGGACTGGGAAGGTGGCTCAGTGGTACAGCACTTGCCTTGCATGCATGAGACCCTGGGTTCGATTCCTCAGCACCACATAAGCAAAAAGAAA